ATCTTGAACAATTGCTTGATCCACCAGATAATCAACAAAGTTCTCACCAATTTCCTAACCAAAAAATCACATAGCCTGAAAAGCTAATATTGAATCTATTTATGTATTAAATTATGTATATTTAATATTAAGGAAGGGTAAAGTAGTAAATAACTATCGTCTTATTGGGTTATCGGTTTACCCAATAACCCAATAGAAAAAACCGAAACCGACCCAATAACCCAATAATTATTTTTTCTAAACCCATTAAAAACCCAATAACATTTTATCGGTTCGGTTTATTGGTCGGTTCGATTTTTGCACACCCCTAGTTGTACTTACAAATTTGAGTAAGAAAATCATTTTTTTACATTTGTTTCGTAATTGCAGTTATTTATTAAATACATAATTAATTATTTGTCAAAATTTATTCATACTATTCAATAATGTTACTCAAACGCTTATGAGTTAGTTTCAATTAATTAAATATATCACGAAATAATATATATTATGTGAATGATGTACTGCAAAAGAAGATAAGTGTCAATCAGAATGTCATTTTCTTAGGAATATTGGATGTGAACTATTATTATCTGGACCATATAAACACATATTCATATCTCAATCCTTTTCTAAATCCAAAAGCCGAATAGATGTCTCAACAAATCTGAAATATTAGAAGAGTAACTGTATCAAATTATGCCATTAATGAATCAACAAGAGAATTATTGATTGATAATTTGTTGTTGATTATTACCATTACTTTTACTATAATGAGAAGGAAAGGAGGAGAGTTGGTAGAAAAAAAGAGCTTTGTGATTTTGTTCGATTATATTTATATTATTTTGAAGATAGAAGGGGATAAAAAGGGACTAACCAATGTAACAGAAGTCAAGTCTTTTTCATGACACCTTGGCTTGTCTATCATAATATGGAATTTTCCTATCAAACAAATTTACATAATGCATTCTTTCATTCTCACACCAAACATTTTGATCTTATATATGCCCCACAAGGATTTATAAGTACTTCTACAAAGAAAAACTATATATAAGTAAGTTTCTCGACTAGTTAAAATTAGTTAAAATTTCAATTACTTTGTTTACGATTTATGTAACGATTGGGTTCCGTCGTAATAGAAAAGTCAACAGGAAAAAATTTTGGGTCGGAAAACTTTTTCGTAATAACTTAAAATTTTTCAACGTAGTTTAAATTTGGACGAAATCAAAGTCATTAACGTCTAGAAAAATCTGATAACAATTGGGTGGTCTAATTATGAATTTGATCATATTAGTAGATAACTAAGACATTAAAGAATCCGTACGACTTTACGGAATTGAATTCGGGCGAGTAGAACTCTCGTAATTGATCAAACTGTGAACATGTAGTTTTTGAGTGTCGTTGGTTGAAGGTGTGTTGTCAAATAGGAGTTTAGGATTCTTAAATTGACTCGATGATTCCGTGCAAGCCTCTGAGGCGGGATTTCTGCCACCAAGGCTTGGGCATTATGGCGGGCTGGAGGCCGCTATAACAGGACAGTCGCGATTTAAATACAAAATAAACCCCCAAAACGTCTTTATTCTGCAACATTCGAACTTGAGAGCTAAGGAACGAACCCAAGGGTTTTCTTGACATTTTTCCACCATTCTTGAGGTTAAAGGTAAAATTTTAACTCCTTGAATCCGCTTTTCGATCCGTAGAACGTAATCTAATGGGTAATTGTCAATGGGGAAAGATTTTGATATGGAATTTAGGGTCGAAAAAACCCTAATTGAGAGATTGGGATCAGGGGTTTGATCTAGGGTTGATAGGATTGTAGTAATTCAGATTATTAGTTATTGTTTATTGATTCCCGTATTATATTGATCGTTTGTAGACCAAGAACAAGTGGAATGAATCTGGAGAGGGAAAATCAAGTTTCTTATAGGGGTTCATACTTTGTTCGAGGTAGGTGATGATTGTAATTTTATGCTTGTGTGATATATGTTAGTTCTTGCTTCATTATAATATGTGAATGTTGCATTATTGATCACGATAGTTGTAAATGAGATAGATGAATGATGAATGCCATGAATCATGACTTGATTGTATGGTTATAAGAATGTACTTGTGATTGTGATTGTGACTTGTTGAATGGATCGGATGTTGCATTTCAACACACTAACTTGGATCGGTTGCCACGTTCTGTCATAAATATGAGATCCGTTGTCACGTTTCAACATAATCATTGGATTGGGTACCACGTTTCGACATGCTAACTTTTTGGGTTTGGATTCCATGAGAGGACCAATGAGTTGACATAAACGTATATCTTGAGAAATGTGAAATTATACGTTGTTCGTTAAATGATGATGATATTGTATATGTTCGGTGTATGCATGTTACTATTATACTGTATTAGCTTATGTATATTGCACTTAGTGGGATAGCCGTGTGATCCTACCAGTACATTGTGGTTGTGTATTGATATCGCACTTGCTCTTTCTTTCTTGAGTACAAGGCATCTTCAGGCGGTTATTGACAGATCTCGCTTAGAAGATCAGTGACCTCCCATTTTCCTTTAGACTTTGGTTCATTGTTAGATGTTTAGTACATTGTCTTTCAAGTTCTAGGCATTTATTCGACAATTTGTTGTTAGATTTTTTGAAAGTTTATAGGAACTTCAGTTCTTAGTCATTTAAACCTGCTTCCGTATCTTTAAATGCTTGGTTTCGTATTACATAATTAGTATAAATGATTCTCCCACTGAAGGATTAGCGTGAATGTCAATCACGATGATCAGCGTCGTGACAATCTATTTAACTATTTCATAAACCCCTTTGTTCTTTATTATATGACAATAAAAAATATTGATTTAAAAGTATTAATAACATTTTTCATGCTAGTACATTCTAGGAAAAAATTACATAAATATATAACTTAAGATATCATAATCTCTAAAAAAATATTTATTATTTAAAAAATTACAAAATCTCTTTTTTCCTTTGAACTATATTCATATTAGTGTATCCGATACTTAAAAATTCATTAATTTATATGAATTTTTTTATTTATTTTTTTATGTATAACACGTTTAAAGAACTAGTCCCGCTATAATTACAAAATTGAAAATCCTGATTTTCTTCCTTTGCGGTACACAAATTCGAACCGAAATACTAAAATATGCATGTCAAAGATTTAATACAACATTTTCTGTTTTTTTAACATAAAAAACTGAATAGATATTATTGTAGTATTTTCTTGGGGAGCTTTTCAATTTTCAATTAAAAAAAATAGTAATGTTTTTTTTTTTTTTTCTGAAAGAGCCAAGGAATCGAGGAAGTAGGACAGTAGATATATATTATAGGTGAGAAGGTTCCAACAAGGTCACGTGAAATATTTTAATAGTATATGATTTCTGAGGAGTCAAAGATTCTAAAATCCAGAGTAGTTTTCATGTGGCTCTTCATTAAATTAATTTTATTATTATCCTTGTTATATTTTTTTGATTTTTTAGTGGTAGCTATTCAATTATTTTAAATTAATCACATAATATAGGGCTTTATTCGGAGAAAAACTCTCCTTAAATGATTTTTGTATACTAACTCAATATTTAAATTTAAAATAACTATTTAAAAAATAGCGATAAAATTCATTTCGCCCCGAACTATTATCATTGTTAAGTGAACGTATATATATATGGCACCTTTTTACATCATAACATTGGGAATAACAATGATTTTCTTGGTTAGAAGTTGTAGTTTCCCGGTCAAAAATTTACAATATCTTTTTCGTCTTGTTTTCATGCTTTTGCTTTTAGGAAACATTTTGTAAAGCATTTGTTATAATGTCATAGTTTGCGCATGAGAAGAGTCCACAATTTACAAATTAGGATTATATTATTACTATGTCACTGAAGCACTTTAAGTTCTTCTTACAATTCTACTTTAATTTGTTGCCTCCACATAATAAAAAATGAGAGGATTATGAAGAGCTTAGAATTTTCAATAAAATTTCACATTACGAAACTTACCTACTTTGTGCACACTATAATATTAATTAATATTGGATGAGGTACTACTAAGGTGTAAACAAATTATTGTGGAAAAGATGACTTATTTTTTGGTTTTTATTTTTCATTTTTTGTTCTAATATAAAGCATTCTCACAAGAGCATCTTCTTTGCTTTTCTCTTCTTTGGTGCCTGTGGACACCGACACGTAAATTGATAATTATAATTTGTTTAACTTTAATAAATATATTCATATAATAGAGTATTATGAATTTTCGACAATTAAAAATATCTTAATATATCATACAAATACATTACACATGTAAAAAATAACTTCTTTTTTTAATTATTTACAATTCAAATACATTTTAATTAAATTAGAGTTAACTCTTGAACATTTAATCTATATTGCATATTTGTTAGTACTAATACTTTAAAGATAAAAGTACTAATTGACAATTTCCAAATAAATCAAAAGAAAAAGGAGGAAATGGACATGTAAGCGTCAAACAGCGCAAGTATTTAGAAAAGCGACAAAGTTCAGACTAGACAGAATGCCACGCCACGGAAGCAGTAAAGAAGATAAATAAGTACCAAAAATAACAAAAAGAATTAATATTTTATTAATTAAATGACTATATAACAAAAAAGGGGAAAGCGTTAAACTAATTAAATGACCATATCCACACCTTTTTCCACCAATAATTTTCCACATATTAAAGTTAAACAACACCACCGTCTTCTACAGGTGCACCATGATATAAAGCTAATAATTATATTATCACTTAGAATTGAAAGAGACAATAACACAATAAGGCACTCCTAAATATAGAATTAAACAATAATCACGCTTAGCAATGTCCAATTATTTCATTAAGAGGGAATCTTGCGATCTGTTCAATTAATTATCGAAGAAAACTGTGGTGTGATGAATAAAATTCAATTAGAAGTCGAGCTCTAGTCTCGAAAAGGGAAAAAACCCTCTTACTAGACATGGTTATACCGAAAAACTCTACAACACCGACACCAAATTAGTTGGCATTAACTATATGAATCAAAATCAATCCACACAATTCAAGTTTACTGAGTAAAGACAATAACCTCAAACATTTGTCTTTTTATTTCTATAATGTAAAACTTTCCCTCCATTAATGGGGGCAACGGCCATATCTTTGTCTGTAGCATAGGGTCCCCTAAAAGACGCAGAATTTGGCAACAATCACGAGCAAAGAATACAGAAAAAGCCACTCTACTACACTTATCTGTAAAACACTATTTCTTCTTCTTCTTCATGAGGCCAAAATGTCACATAATTCAATGGCTACTCTCTCTTCTTCCACTCCTCCAGTATTTTCATATGATGATGATAAACTAGACCTCGAGTCGGTACGCAAAGTCGTTGTAGTTATAAATCAGCACATAACTGCATTGCTAGCAGATACAAAATCTTGGAAATCATTGAAATTGAAATGCAGTTCCAAGCTTGATGTTTGTAGTAATAGAGGGTACCTTGAGTTTTCGGAGCAGTCGATATTGTCAAATCTTTATTGGGGGATAGAGAGTATAGAAGCAGCACTTCAAGCAAAATGGAGTCAAGAGAGAACATCAAGGCTGCAGAATTCAGAGATTATGCTTCAAGTGCCAGCTTCACTTGATGAACATGGAGAAACAGCAGGAATTCCAAACAGTTATTTGACAGGCTACTCATACTTTTACCTCTCTGTTGTTAGAAAACTCCAAGGGGATGAGTGGCAGGTTGCTATGCATTTTCTCCAAGCTCTTGCGGTTTCTCCTAGGCTTCTTCATACTGAAATTGCTACCGAACTCTGCAGACAGTTATCGGTCTTATGCATTGAGAAGGAACCATATTCCAAAGATGAGAATGAAGTCTATGCTATGATGGTAAAGATGGCCAGGAGATACAAAGCTTGGCTTATGTATTATCAAATTATGTCTTCTGGAGAAGACGGCTCTCTGAGGAATGGTGAGTCCAGCAGCGTGACTTCAACTCAACATGAATTACAACAGATAATGTAAGTTTTCTAGACTGTTACAGATAAGCAGTCTTTAAATTGCACACTACATTTAGCAATTAGAGTATTAAACATTTCTGATAAGAACACAACCTTGGCAAAGCTTTAATACTGAGAAAACTTCAGTGGAAATGAATAATATTAGGTGAAGTCAAAAGAAGACCTATTGAAATGGATCGGATGATTCTTGTCAAAGTATGATTAAATTTTAGCAATTTTATGAGTCCAAGCTCTAAAACTGACATTTTAGAAGCACAAGATTGGAACAGTTCAGCAAAAGCTCATTCTCATCCAAATTATGTCTGTTTAACAGGAGTAAGAAGTCCAGAAGCACAAGATCTTCAGATTCATGTAAGAATGAAAACACGCAGTGCAGCTCTTCAAATGTAAGTATAACTGATCCTCTTGGATAAGTCTGAGCACGATGCCAAAAATTCTGCCTTTGACACATAACTGGAGCATTACTTGATATGGTTATGTCATGTAGAGTAGGCCATATGAAGGTCACAAAAATGAAAATAGAAAAGAATCTATACAGACACTAGTAATGGTCAAGATGAGGGCAAACAACAAAATGTACAGGGGTCTCAAATTCAAAACTTTCATCAGTGTTTTCTCATCTTTTTCTATGTTTAGTCAGCCCCTAATTGTTTCAGTTTGTATGACTTTCAAATTAATAGAACATGAATGCAGTTTGAGAAGGTGCATCCATTTAATGCCAAAAATGATGCTAAGAACGAGAAAGAGGAGACAATTATCACATCCAATGAGTGCACAAAGGAAAAACAGGTAGCTATTACTGAACTGAGTGGTGTAGCAGAAATACCCAAGAACATAACCACCAAATGCCTCAAAGATATATTGCTTGATTCAGAGTCAGAGACATTTGATTTCAGCAGCAGCAGTTCTGCAAGTGAAAATTTTCATGAGGTAATATCTTGATTATGAAAGCCACGAAAAATATAAGTTGAATTGAATAGCCCTTTGAGAACTAAACACTCACACAAGCATGCACACAATCTCATCATCTTTTTTATTCAGGAATATGCAGAAGACATGGAAATCACTTCAAAACGGAGCCTACAAAATCAGCAAACAGAGGATTTTTATCAGTTCAGTCCCCACTCACCTGTTTTAAAATTTAGCCTGATACCTGAGTAGGCCTGAAATTCACATTAACTCAACTAACTCAATGAATACAGGAACCAAAAATCTTCTCGCTCCTCACTGTTTTTGGAAAGCTTGGTTTGTAAATCGCAAGTTTCAGGACTAAGACACAACGAAGGAAACAGAGCAGAAATCACTAACTCGCTCTCCAGAAGATTCTCCGGTTCATTTAGTCATACTGATTTATCCGCAGAAGGAATCAGAGGCCTCAAAACGCACATACATATGAGTGGTAACAATGAAGCACCAATAATGCAACAGGGCTTACAGATGATTGATAGTAGATCTGATGGATATCCGATGTCCATGACTTTACGTGATTATCAGCTCTGTAAAACACAGCACCCCAGGATTTCTTCACGGCAAAAGAACAGGTGCAAGAAGACCTTAAAAGAAATATCTGAATACTCTGAAGAAAATTCTCAAGCAGAACAAGCAGCACTACTTGAGAAAATAATTTCAAAGTTGTGTTTCTCAGAAGAGTTTGGGGATTATAAAGACTACACAGTTGACCTTACAACAATATATGAACTACTGAACAACAAAACAGGACTCAAGTATTCTTTGCTAAAAGACATAATCATTGATCAACTTTTGAGGGCTATATCGACATCCAGAGAAGAACATGTGATACGAGAATCAGTATCAGTCCTATCAATTATTATTTCAAGGAACAGATCACTTGTTGATGATGTGAAGAGGAAAGGGTTACAATTGAATCATTTAGCAACTGCTCTTAAGAAAAATGTTCATGAAGCGGCTATACTAATTTACTTAATAAATCCATCTCCTGCAGAAATCAAGACATTAGAACTTTTACCTTGTCTTGTGGATGTGGTGTGTGCTTCAAACAATTACAAATGTAGCCTAAGAACACTGCGGATAACACCTCCAGCGGCGTCATTGATGATTATGGAAGCACTAGTCACGGCATTCGACTATACATCGAGTGAAACACAATTAGCTGTGATCAGCTCACCTGAAGTACTCTCAGGGCTCTTGGATGTCTCAAGAAACAACAACCTGGAAGAAATTATTGCTCTGGCAGCTGTTCTTATCAGATGTATGCAATTCGACGGTCAATGCAGAAAACAGATAAACCATTCTGCTCCACTGGCTCCATTTATCTCTCTTTTGAGAAGCAATTATGAGCGTGCAACGTCAATTGCATTGGAGTTTTTCCATGAACTGCTGAGAATTCCAAGGTATGAAACTATCTACCTGTTCACCATTTTCTTTATTCTAAGCTGGGAAGATAATGACATTGATGATTGATCACGATAAGAACTCTCAAAGAAATGAAAACTGAAAGGTAATCATCAGCATGGGAGTGGGGATAATGGCGACGTAATATGTAAGCTAAACTTTTGTTCTTAGAATCAAATCAGTGACACCTTTACCGGGGTTTTAATTCACCATAATTTACTACCTTATGAACGAATCCAACAAATCGAATTATTATCTCATCTTAAAAATGTACCCTAATTAAACAAAGAGACCATAAACAATATCTTCTTCCTTATACAGAATACTTCTCAGAAGTAAGTTACTGCTTACTTTTATACCTTATAGATGTGATCAAGAAGATTTCAGGACATATTTAATCTCTTTTGCATCAGGTCATCAGCCATTGAGGTGCTGCAGAAAATACAACAAGACGGAAGCAACAACAATAAGTGTGCATTATTACTTCTCATCCAAAAGTCACAACCTGAGTACAAAATTTTGGCAGCGAATTTGTTGCTTCAGTTAGACATGCTGGTAAGCATATCGAAGTGTTGTCTTTCAAAGTATCTGGAAAAAAATGTGCGAGGATAAAAGAACGAGCAGGTTTACGTAACTAAACACCTGCAATAGAACAGCGCATCTTGAGCTTAGGATCTCCCAACATATAGGGATATCACGATTTCATGATATTGGACACCGAATTACACAAGAAAAACAGAAAAACAAAAAAAAAATTACATTTTATAGCTTAAGAAAGTTATCAAGAAACACTACACAGCAGAAAACCTGGAAATGTTTATTTTTTTTAATTCTTTCTACAGCCATAAAGTCACAATTTACCTATAGCTGGTTGCATCCCTATATAACTAAGGTTATACGAATCCATATATCTTTTACATTTACTTCCATAAGGTGTCACCATGAACCTTTGATGATGTCAAATTTTCAGGAAGAAACATCAGGTAAATTTGTATATTGTGAAGAGGCTATGGAAGCTCTACTCGAGTCAGTATCGTGTGAAGAGAATTCTGCAACACAGGCTCTATCAGCATTCATCCTATCAAACCTTGGTGGAACCTTCTCTTGGTCAGGAGAACCTTACACAATACCATGGTTGCTTAAAAAGGCCGGTTTGACTTCCTTGCCACACAAGAACATGATAAAGAATGTTGACTTTTCGGATAAATGTCTACAGGTAATTTTTTCTTTCAAGATCCAATTTAGCCTTGTGCCCTCTAATATTACCCAGTATTCTCCCCATTTCAATTTTGTCTGGTTATGCATTTACCCAGGGCTACCATTCATTACCATGCGGAAATAATAATTTTAATCTTGATTTTTTCTTCTTCGTGAAGAAGTTTATACTGTTTATATTTGCTTAGAGGCACTAAGGTCCACACTGAACTTGGCTACCATGTATTTTTTTTTACAAATCCTTGAGCCAAGGGTCTGCCAGAAACAACCTCTCTACCTCCCTTGGTAGGGGTAAGGGTAAGATTTGCGTACACTCTACCCTCCCCAGACCCCACTTGTTGAATTACTGCACGCATGAGTTGTTTACTTGTTCTAAAGACTCCATTAACTAACAGGACAATGGCATAGAGACATGGTGTAGCAAAGTAGCGAGGCGCTTCTTAAAGTTTGGAAGTCCTCTATTCCATGCTTTAGAGAAAGGACTTGAGAGCGAATCAAGAAGTACCTCCCGAGATTATCTTGCTGCTACTGCATGGCTGGGGTCTGAAATCACGAAAGCCCCTGATGATTTGAGATATGCAGCCTGTGAGATTTTACTTAGTAGAATCGAGCAATTTGTTCATCCAGGACTGGAGCTTGAAGAAAGGCTACTAGGATGTCTTTGTATCTATTATTATACTTCCGGAAGAGGTAAATATCTAAATATGCACTAATCACCAAATGCATAAGTTGACTTGCTTTCACTTCAAAATTAAAATTTGTGCCTGAGATTGGAAACTCTTACAGGGATGAAAAAGCTAGTCAACTTTTCAGAAGGAGTTAGAGAGTCACTAAGACGCCTTTCCAACATGAGTTGGATGGCAGAAGAATTACTTAAGGTTGCTGACTATATCCAGCCAAACAAATGGGTAAGTAGACACCAGTTTTCTTTCTTATATATTGTGGCTGTAGCCTGTATGTGATGTTAACAGAACCATAATGCAATCATTTATACCAGTCATCTCTAACTGATCATCGCATCTAATAGAAGTGAATGTATAGAACTTGCATCATAAACAAGTAAACTATAACTTCTTAACAATTAGCCACATCCTTGGAAGAGCTGTAACAAGGTTGGCAACTATATCAGTTAACATGTTAGAATAAATTCCATAGTGTCAAAAAGACTACAAGGACCTTTTCCTGCATAGGAACCGAAACTTATCCTTTAACACTAAAATGTAGAATAAGGATTACAGAAAACTTCAAAAGGCAGAGATGCATTCACAAATATGTTTGGTAGATCACTGAGTCAACACCAGAGATGGAGGTGTCGTGTTGTCATGATGCATGCATGAGAAATAATTACTCCCTCGTTCCCATTTTACGTGACACTATTTGACTGGGGGCAAAGTTTAGAAAGAATTGAAGATTTTTTACGCTTGTGGTCTAAAAACAAGTCTTGGATATCATGTGGTTGTAAATCATTTCAGTAAGGGTAAAGTGAGAATTTTGAAGTTATTTGTTTCTAAATATAGATAGAAATGTGACATTTTTCTGCGACAATCCAAAAAGGAAAGTGTGTTACATAATTTGGGACATAGGGAATAGAGTATATCATGATACAATTCTTCATTTCTAACTCAGTTTTTCTTCACAATGGTAAGAGCAGAGAATATCTTGTGTTCACACACAAATTCTCGAAATGAGTAGTAACCATAGTGGAGCAGTAACATCGCTCACCTACTATAATGGAGAGCTTTACAGTGGACATGCAGATGGTTCAATCAAGGTTAGCTACTTTTATGTGCTTCATACTTCTTGCCTCTAAGTTTAAGGTTCACATTAACAAAGAGGATAATGACCTCTCATTAAGTCGTATTCAGGGATGTTAAGTTGTCCCTAGATATGTCTGTAGAGTGCTCATTTGTGTTAGATTTGTAATGTAACATATCTGATGGTTTTACATCATAGGCATGGGACATTAAAGGACAAGAAGCCACACTTGTTAGGGACGTGAGGGAGCATAAAAAAGCTGTGACATGCTTTACAATTTCTGAATCAGGGAATTGCCTGTTGAGTGGTTCTGCTGACAAATCAATAAAGGTAACCAGTAACCAATCAAATTTTATGTTAAATATGATTGAATCCGTCTAAAAATGCATTTATTGGATGAGTTTTTCTTTTTCCGCAGATCTGGCAAATGTTTGAAAGAAAGCTTGAATGTACAGAAACTATACTGACCAAAGATCCAATTCAAAATATCAACACGCATGGGGAACTAATTTTTGCAGTTACCCAGAGCCACAAAATGAAGGTAGATATAAATGATCATCACATTCTGACAAAAGAGCCTAAGTCAAGTTTAGAAACTATTTTTAAGATGCTACATTAAATTACCAAGACGTGTTCTATTATAGGTGTTTGATGGATCACGGAAGGCCAGTAAATATTTCAAGAATAAATCCATAAGGTGTGGAACATTGATAAACGGAAAGCTGTATATAGGCTGCACAGACTCAAGCATACAGGTCAGATCAAAGATCTTGTTTCATGTCATGTAATACAACTCATTCAGCAATTGAGTTACATATATATAATAACTAAATACAGGAGTTAGCTATACCAAACAGCAGGCAGCAAGAGATCAAAGCACCATCAAAGAGTTGGAGTATGAAAAACAAGGCTGTGAACTCATTAGCTGTATATAAGGACTGGTTATACAGTGCAAGTTCAACAATTGAAGCTTCACATATAAAGGTAACAAATCCAACTTGTTGATGTGGAGCAAGTACCTTTCCATTGACACCCCCACTGATGCAGGACTGGAAAAAAAACAAGAAACCACAAATATCAATGTCGCCAGAAAAGGGAGGCAATGTGTTGGCAATGGAAGTAGTGGAGGACTTCATATATTTAAATTGCAGTGTGTCAATGAGCAACATCCAGGTACTGGCATATCTTACATAGAAACTAAGATTTAATTTTGATAATTCTAGAAAACCACGTTCCCAATGGAAAAATGAAGCTCTATCTACTGGATGAAAATCACCTTGGGGCAGTAAATGATTCAATAATGAGTACTAAATAAATGCTCATTACTCAACTCACTTGCACAAAATCTACCATGTTAAGTAAACCTTCATCTCTAAACAATCTGCTGCATACTAACCGATGAATACATGACACAACCAGATTTGGCTGAGAGGAACACAGCACAAAGTTGGAAGATTATCAGCAGGAAGCAAGATAACAAGTCTTCTAACTGCAAATGACATAATTATATGTGGTACAGAAACAGGAATGATTAAGGTTTGTCTATTCAACTTCTACTCAAAAAAACAAAGAATTATTATAAGGCAAATGGAACTCTTGACAGTCCACATTGCCAAACAAACATGTTTATCATGTAATACACACCTTCCTATATGGAGTGTCAAAACTTCCACTACCTTTTTGGTATCCTCCCTTCAGAACTCTTTAATGAAGAAGGGCGCAATGTTTATTGGGTTTTTTTTTCTAACATAACGGTACTAACTAATTTCTTTGACTTCTATTGTTAAAAATGGCAGGGTTGGATCCCCCTGTAGTGGTATATTGCAGGTACAGGATAAGTGTAGCAAAAACATAGTACAGAAGGAAGAAGCAATCTGATTCCATATTATGTAGAGAGAAGTGCAGTGTAATTATATCATTCTACTTCAAATAATTTTACATGCTAAATCAATCTTAGATGAATGCTATGCCTGTTTTGCTTCTTTCTTTTTCTTACTTATAAAGGGATGTTAGCAAGACTAAAAAGGAATTACCTTAATTCTTGCTACACGACAATAGAAGTAAAACCTGCAAAGACTGAATATTTATTTAAAGAATTTCTCACAAAAAATCTACAAGTTAATTCACAGCCATGGAAGTAATTAAAGAAAAAATAAAAAAAAATTGATCATGACCAGAGAGAGTCAAGAAACTGAGACTCCAGCAGCTTTTCTCTTGTACTTTCCAAGTGTGCCTTCAACAGCAAGAGTTCATTCACGTTATGACATGCTTCAACATTGAATGAATCCCACGTACCACTCTGCCCAGAGGATGAACAATGTGTTTCAACATTGAATGAATCAGACATACCACACGACTCAGAGGATGAACAATGCGTTTCAACATTGAACGAATCCCAAATACCATTCGACCCAGATGGGATTCCTGAGGATGAACAATGCCTTTCAAGATTGAATGAGTCCCACATACCACTCTGCCCAGAGGATGAACAAGGCCTTTCAAGATTGAATGAATCCCACATACCATTCTGCCCAGAGGATGAACAAGGCCCTTCAATTATATTGAATGAATCCCACATACCATTCGACTCACAAGGCCTTCCAAGATTGAATGAGTCCCACATACCACTCTGCCCAGAGGATGAACAAGGCCTTTCAAGATTGAATGAATCCCACATACCATTCTTCCCAGAGGATGAACAAGGCCCTTCAATTATATTGAATGAATCCCACATACCATTCGACTCACAAGGCCTTTCAAGATTGAATGAGTCCCAAATACCATTCGACTCAGAATGCGTTTGAAGATTGAATGAATCCCAAATACTATTTGACTCAGAATGCGTTTGAAGATTGAATGAATCGGAAATACCACAAAGCGTTTCCACGTCCCCACAAGTGTAGGGTTTTCCTGAGGAAGAGAAAACAAGAATGGCAACTTTAGCACCAGTCTTGGATTCAAGTTGCACAGCTTTCTTGAAAAGTCCTTTGCGTCTCTTCGAAAATGCCACCTTTCTTGCTGATTCTTTAGTGATTTTCTTAATTTCAATTTTCTGCTTCCCTTTACCCATCCGTCTTCTTCCTTTATCTCCAAGTATAACTGTTCTCTACTACGAATGTGCAGGTATATATTAACCAAAAAATCTAAAATGAGTTAGAAGCATGTGTATAAAAAAAAAAAAAAAAGAGTTGCGCGAAAATCAAATAAAAATATAACAAATTTTTATCAGTTTAATAAAAATATTATTGGATTAATTAATAATTTTTAATATTGGATTATTAACTAAATTAATAACCAATTAAGATGATAGTAATTTACTACTTATTCTTCCTAATGTATTAAATATATTGATAATAAACATAACTAGACGATAATCCATACTTTATATACAGGGTACACACTTCACATTTTAGGGTATTTATACTTCACACCAAAATTTTCATAGTATATTTTAATTGTAACATGTAATTGTAGTTTTTATACTACATCTACTTTTATTGATGTAATTTTTCATTATATTAGTAATGCAGGATTTAGTAGTGCAGGGATTATTTTTTAGCAAGTGTTTGGTTCATTATTTCCTACCTAGTCTTATGTTTGGTTTAAAACTTTAGAAAAAAATTATTTCCTATTATACCCTTTAGTTATTGTAAGATTATGTTTCTTTTAACTAGTCAAGTTAAATACTAAAAAATATATTAAAATATTATTAATTTTGGTGTGATATGTCACATGGTATATTTCTAATTTTTTTGTTGGTCAAATATACCTTGAACTTAACATGATTTTAAGGCTACTTAAATTGTTCAAATACGCTTAGCTTATTTAAAAAAAAAAAATAGTTCACGTGGTCAGTTAACGAACTACATTTAAATACAAAAAAAAAATAAAAATCAACCCAATATAACAACTCAAACATGGAGAAAAAAATATTAGTTTGTGAAATCATCAAATTAGATGAAATAAATTTGGAGAATTAAACGAACATTTATAAATATTCTTATATAAATTAAAAAAAAGAACATGAATTACAAAAAAAAATAGGAAAAAAGATTTGGGGATGATTTAGTCATTTAAGGGGTCTTATCCAAGGATTGCTAAACCTTGTATTAGCTATCCCTCCCTTTCCTAGGGATAAAATAAGACCTTGTATGAGGTATAATTAATCCATGGATTAGGTTAAATAAAGTAACCAAACAATGTTTTTGTTGGACTATATTTTAGTCCATGGATTGTTTTGATTAATACTTCCTACCAAACGGGTTCTTATAGTTGTTTGGTTGTTTCAATGTATTATGTTAAATTGTTAAAGAAGTAAGAAGTCATATTTCTTTTTAGGAAAAATTACTTGGATTGATACATTTAAATAAATAATTATTGATTTTTGTGATACTTTTTATTTATTATTATTTATAACAATATTATGTTAATTTTGTAACATGTATTAAAAGTGAATTATATATTTAATATATATGTATTATAACTGTTTTTAAATATATTATGCTTATTTGGTAAGAAATTGACATATTGAATTAAAAATGTATTTAAAATGTGTGATGAATGTATTATTAATCTATGAAAGTTGTACTATGTGTGAATAATAAATTATTCTTTGTAATGTGTACTAAAATTGCATCATAAATGTATTAAAAGTTATCAAGTGAAAAAAATATTAATTTTTATAAATAGTAAATACTTTCTTAATATAGTATATTGATAAGTTTCTGCCAATTTTATGTGCATTTTTTTATTGGGTAAACTAAAAACCTAACTATTAATGACCAAAAATCGATAAATCGAAGATTGATAAAAAAAAATTCCTATTAATTTGTTATTGATTTTATGTACTTAAAAATCGAAAACCAATAAACCAAATTGATGCACCCCTACTATATCATAAACAATTTGAATGTCTACTTATATATATATTTCAAAATAATAATGGAGCTACATTAAACCAACCTTTTAGCATGGTAATATTAGAGTAATAATTCATTCATTCCAATTTTCCCATATTGCGGTTATTCTAAAACATTCTTCCGCAAACTTCAAGTATTTTCTGACACTTTATGTTTGTGGAATAGTACTTTTTAATGTTATTAGCAACAATCATTCACATGAACATAAGGCTCAATCTGTTAGAGCGCTCCTATGATTTATGAAAGGATTTCTCATCTTCACTGTTCTTATCAATAATGACAGTGAATTTGTCATTCAGCAGAGTCAAGTCAAGACCCATCACATATTAACATATGAAGCATGTGAATGAAAATGGATAGTTGCAAATAAATATATGCTCACATATAAAAAAAAATAGCGTGAATTCATTGTAATTCTCCTTTGGGTAGATACTACGACACACTATCATAATTTAAATGTCATTATTTTTTTTAAAAAAATTAATAGGAAATTAAATAATTTTAACCAAACATATACGACATCTTTGGATATACAATATATGTTTGATTGAAAATATTAATTAACCTCATAATTTTTCACTATTTGTAGAATGATAGATTCACCTTTGGATATATTTTTTAAGTTCTAGCAATAGTGAAAGTCAATGTATTTATTTTTCAAAATAGGCATTTAATTAACTTTCATAGATAAATGACAATTTTATGAGTGCATATTTTATATAACCATACTAGTTTGGCCACTTTGATGAATAACAAGCTATATGAATACAAATGCATACATAATCTAATAAAATTTTGTGCATGTGAATAATTTTAAATATTTTAGTTTGGCCACTTTAGTGACTAACAAATTATCGATTCATAATACGTGCATCAAACGATCATAAACATGATATGTGTAGACGTTACTTTTCTCTAGTTTGGCCACTTTGATGACTCACAAACTATATAAATACGAAGTACACATAACATCATAAAAAATTCGTGCATGTGAACAATTTCAAATATTTTAGTATGGCCACTTTGGTGACTAACAAACTATAGAAACATAATACATACATCAAGTGACCATAAACATATTTGTAGACGTTAATTTCTCTAGTTTGGCCACTTCGGTGACTAACAAAATATAAAAACATATTACATGCATCAAATAATTATAAACATGATATGTGTAGACGTTAATTTCTTTAGTTTGACCACTTTGGTGACTAACAAACTATAAAAATATAATACACATATTATTTATTGTTTAGTATAATGACCACTTTAATTGATTGCACAATCTAAAATAAAACATAATTGTTACATCATGGGGTTGCAAACACCAATTCTAAACTTTTCATGAGTGATGATAACAAAGCATTACTTGATTAACCATTGACCACTTGTTCTTAATAGATCATAAGATAACTTACAAAAATCTATAAGTAATGACGCTTTAATATTACAATATCCCCGTGTAAAAGTTTATTAGGACATCAATTATTGGCTAAGGCAAAAGGTTTCTCAATTATTAGTTGAACATTACTTTGCATCAACATATTGTATTGTAAGCTCGAGGTTAAAATTACTATTAGTCTTCCAAATATTATCAGTAATGACGAAAAGTTTTGAGATCATCCTCACAGAAAATTTTGGATCTATCCCTCATGCAATTTTTCTAAATATGCCTATTTTATATACGAAGATTATCGGTTTAAATAATCTAGGCTCTGATGCCACATGTAAGATTAAATACTTGAATACATAATATCAGGATCTTGAACACGATAATCTTACATAGAGATCGTTATGAGTACATACCTGATGAGAAAGACATCATCACATACAAAAGCGGAAGCGTTAGTTGTAAATTGATTTCTACCTCCTTGCCCTAATTTTTTGTTGCCACAACCGTCAATGATGGAATCATTGTAGAGAATATGTGGTAACCCTAATGGGTGGAGGGAGGACCAATTATAGAGGTTATGATTTAATCTGATACGTCCATCAAGTAACCAATGTACAGAACAGATCTATTTTTTATTAAATACTATTTATGATATTCCTTAGGTTACAAGCAAACTTGGGCTATAAGTAAGAAATAATTAATAGTACAAGTTGATCACAACGTAACTCCGTTGAAAATCTACACTGAATCCACTGATATCATTCATATGATTAAGCATGGCCATTTTACTCTATGATAACCTTATTGATGGTGCAGATCATTAATACAGGAGTTGGGTGCCCTAAAGATGATACACATATTGAAGGAACAAAATAGAATGGCGGATCGACTGGCAAAGGAACGAAATTTCGGCATACCAATCGTTTTGCTAGTTCCTCCGATGTACGCATTACACGAATGATAAGCACATTATGGGAGCTACTTTTGCTAGAAAAAACTACCTCTAATGATTTTGTTATCTAGGGTCGGGGTGTTGTCCAACTGACTATTACTTAAATATCGCAACGCTTCTCAAATAGTGAATAAAAAATATTAAAGTATATTCAATCACTTTTCATATTTTATATTATTATTATTAATGAGTATTATTGATAAGTTATTTTTAGTTTTTATAACTAAATATAAAATATATGTACAATTTGATTTCATAATTTTAACTTTTTCTTTTTAAAAAATACTATATCATTATTGTACCACATTATTAGTATTTTTAAGTTTGATTTCGATATAATCAACATAATTTTAAAAAACATTTGTAAATAATCACATAAAAAGACAATTCAATTTAAATAAAATGGTTAAAGTTTCATTAATTAATAATCATTTTTATTTGATGCTAATTTAAAATAATATACATAAATTATACGCATAACTATTGTCACGACCCAAACCGGATTGCGACTGGCACCCACACTTACCCTCAAATGTGAGCGAACCAACCAATCTAAACCTTAACATTTTAATGTAATATCAACATAAAGTAATGCGG